CACACACACACACACACACACACACACACACACACACACACACACACACACACACAGTGCAGGTAGAGCTTCACAGCGGCCTCTCTCTCACAGAGTGCAGGTAGAGCTTCGCAGCGGCCGATGTATCCGGAGTCGAGATCCTCATTGAGGGGGGGGGAGGAGAGAGAGAGAAAGAGGGTACTTGTGTGTGTGTGTGTGTGTGTGTGAGAGAGAGAGAGAGAGAGAGAGAGAGAGAGAGAGAGAGAGAGAGAGAGGGTAGTTCCATCGATAGGATCAGGAAAATCTACTGAATCTACCCGTATCGGGGGGCCGTATGATCGACGGGGATCACGACGGATGTCACGAGCGGGGAGTGCGGAGAAAAGCATCCTTGTCTGTAGACGGCGATGGCGACGGGATACTGTGAGGATAAGGAAGGGGGGTTCTTTGTGTCTCTCTCTCTCTTTCTCTTTGTCTCTTTCTCTTTGTCTCTTTCTCTTTGTCTCTTTCTCTTTGTTTCTTTCTCTCTGTTTCTCTCTGTTTCTCTCTGTTTCTCTCTCTCTCTCTCTCTCTCTCTCTCTCTCTCTCTCTCTCTCTGTGTGACGTTCGTGTACCGGCCGTGTAATGTATGAGACATATTTGGTCGAGAAAAAAACAAACCAAGAAGAAAAGAAACTGATGCGGGTGTGCAATCGATTGCTGTTGTCTTCCTTGGTGTTCCTTGGCGACTGAATGGCAGCAAATGGACGTATGCATAAGCATGGGTGGGGGGGGGGGGGGGCGCTCTTTCTCTCTCTCTCTCGGTCTTTGTCTTTCTCTCTTTGTGAGTGTATATTTCTATGTTCTGTCTTACAACTGTCCCTTAGTCTGAGTACCTGCCTAAAGAAGTTGCATGCTGCCCCCAACCATAGCTGAAGACATCAACGACAAGCTCTGGAGCTGTGACGCTGTATATTCCAAAGTTCAAACCAGGGAGAAGGCTTGCAATTACATCAGTGATTCTCAACAAGCTAACAACTTTGAGCTGAGTAACAGATGGAGTGAACAAAAGGCTTTCTCACAGGACTTTCGAAGCTAAGGGGGAAGGTGCGCGAGAATTTAGTCCTACGGCAGTGTCTGAAAGTGCCGTGCCCGCCGTAAGTGAAGGCGGGCCTGCAAATATGTGTCAATGCCTGTTTATAGGGCTATGAGACCAGGCTGAGGGGCCCAAGCAGAGCCTGTTGTAACCCCATGCGGGCAGGGATCTTCGACGAGGCCTTGTTACGAGTTAGCTCCTCGGCATGCCCCTGTAGGGCCCTTTCAGCAAGCATGAGCCTGCCCTAAGTGAAGGCGGGCCCCTGTAGGGCCCTTTCAGCAAGCATGAGCCTGCCCTAAGTGAAGGCGGGCCCCTGAATCTCAACATGGCCTGAGTTCGTCAAATTTGGCAAAGTGTGGTGGGCGCCAGACAGTTGACCTGCGCCAGTTGGTTACATCCTCCGTACTCGTGAGAATCAGAAATAATTCGTGAGGCTTCTAGGCTCTTCCAGCAGCACAGGCGAAGCAGGGAGAACCTCGCATTTACTCCTGGGTGGTTGGGCAGGCCTAACCAATTCGGTCCCAGGTCACTGTCTGAATGGGCCTGGACGCAGACACTTTGGCCTGATTGGAAGCTACTGGAAATACACGAGGCCCAGCCAGGCAGCAGATGGGGCCGAGCACTTTCCATAAAGGAAAGAGCTCGCCACTGGTGGAGGCATTCGGGCACTAGGCAGTGCATGCGGCAGCGCTGCTTGAGCGTGCACTCGCGGGCTGTGCGCTGTGCGCTAACGCTAGTTGTCAGGCAGTGCGCGTGGGCGCTGGAAGAAGGCAGGGCGCTGCTGAGGGCAGCGCCATAGCCAGCCCTACATAGCCAGGGCTTGGCTTGGACAGCCAGTGGAGGTGGTGGTGGTCTTCGTGCATGAGGGAGAAGACGTGGGAGGAAGACAAGGATAGGGAAAGAGTGAAAGAGATGAGGATGATGATGTGAGGGTGGATACCTGGTATTGGCGATGGTCTGCATTGGTCGACATCTTCAAGTACTTAGGTGACTGCTGACGTCAACAGTTGCATTGTCAATTCGTAGGCAGGAAGTAGCTGTGTAGGGAGTAGCCTGGGCGCCGAGCGCCAAGTAGGGAGAGAGGGCCTGGATACGTATGTTGGTGGGGATGAGAGTAAGCTCTCATTGACATTCGGTTTCAGTGTTTCGATTCTCTATTGGTGTAATATTGGTGCAATGCTGCTTATCTGGACACTGTGGGACTTTCTTGCTTTCAATGTGATTGTGCTATCTGGATTCTGTCATCTCGCTATCTCTCATTTTCCTTGCACGAGGTCGAGCTTGACGAGTACGTTGTTCATTTCACAAGCGTTGTACATCACTAATCATCCAGTATCTAAGGGCGAATTGATAAGCTCTTGTAGGCGCCATATCTTGGATCAGGACACGCCACTCTCCTGATTTCCAAGTAAAGTCTTCTGAGAGTAATTCTCTCCATCTGTCAGGAATACTGTTAATTACTATCTGCAGGTTTTCGTCATGATAGTGGCATCCTTTAAGCGGGGATTTAAGAACTTGGTCCTCGATCCAGTCTCTCTTCATCCCACATATGGCTTACCTTCCATATATCGAGTCTGGTCCATGAGTGCCATCTCTGGCCATTTGAGAGTGACATTGGATGGTCACCACCCTCCCTCACACAAGGGTTCTCACAGCGAGGCTGACGTAAAACTTCCTGTTTAGATTCAAGCTTCTTGACTTTTTTTGGCATGATCTCTCTCCATATGTGGAGTGCAGACCAGTAAGGAACAGGAGGTCGCACTTCGTCTTGGGGTGTGCTCGGTGAGCGTCTCTTGCAGCCAGTGTTAGGGCTCTATTCTTTATTAATCACCCAG